CATTTATATTTCTTTCGCGAGCAGGACGGTCTGACGAGAACAATATCCGGCGAGCCATGAAGGCATCTCGGTGTTTGTTAAATGATTAGAAAACTTAGATGCGAATCATGGCATGGTTTGGTCTGGATTCGGATGGGACAGGACGGGGCGTTTATATGGATGAACGAGTAGCCGGGAAATCGGACAGGTCGATATATGTCTGGTTTAATGTCGAAGTAATCCAACTCGGTACTTCGATCCGCAGAATTGACAGATTGAAAAACAAGTATAGCTATTTAGCTATCTAGAATTGTTGACGGTCGAAAACTATTCATAGGTTTTTAGGTTGATAAAATATAAAAAAATTGAATACCCAGAATGTCGCTTTTTTGAGATATGAAAATGATGGCCATGAAGGGATGGAGCTGACATTTATATACACTTGGTTAATGATAAGAAATCTAGATCGTCAGCCCACCTGAAGGTCTAGATTCTTAGAGACTCATGATATTATATGCAATGAGCCTTCAAGGAAGCGAGGCACAAGACGAGGCTGAAATTGAAATGCGGGAAATGAGTACGGAAGGCTACAACCCCACCAAATGCTAAAAAAAACTAATAATAAGCTAATGAATGGAAAGGCTGTGAATGAGTCAACCAAAGCAACGAATTATTCTACCCCTCGATTTTCATCAATTTTGGATTTATATCTTCTCAACTCAACCTCAAACAATTATTGGAACTTAGAAGATACTTTTATACAAGGGACTGGATTGTTATCATATATTTGTTCCTTCATGAAATACAATAACCGAAATACTATCTATTCATTCCGCACATAAAGAGAGTTTTTTCCTTCCCCCAAAAAGAGACACACAAGCAAACGAATATGGCACAATCGGCAAAGTCCACCAAGAATGCTGGCGGGGTTGGAGGAAAGGGAGCACAAGGAGGTGGTTCTAAAGGCAAAAAGGGTGCTGCGGCAGGTGGAGGAAAGAAAGAAGATGAGAGAGATGAGACATTGCAAGCTGTGGTACTGGCCGATTCCTTCGAGACGAGGTTTAATCCTTTTACTTTGAACACACCAAGATGTCTGTTACCTCTAGCCAATACTCCTCTCATCGAATATACACTCGAATTTCTCGCCATGTCCGGTGTCGCGGATATCTATATATACTGTGGTGCACATACCGAAGCTGTAGAAGAATACCTCCATAACTCCAAATGGGACCCACAAACTTCGCCCTCGTCCCCCTTCAGCAAACTCATGATTGTCAAAACTACGGCCCACTCGGTTGGAGATGCGATGCGGGATTTGGACGCGCGAAATTGGATTACGGGGGATTTTCTACTGGTTCATGGGGATTTGGTCTCGAATTTACCAATCGATTCTGCGTTGGCTGCACATAGAGCCAGGAGATATGCGAATAAAAATGCTATTATGACTATGATTTTAAGATCAGCTGGATTGGAAGAGCATAGAACAAAATCGAATGGTATTACACCGGTTTTTGTCTTGGATCCAACGAAGAACCGCTGTCTTCATTATGAAGAGATGAACCCTCTTCAATCGAATAAATATCTCAGTCTCGATCCGGACATAATTTCAGAAAATTCCGAAATAGAGATTCGAACGGATTTTATTGATTGTGGTATCGATATTTGTACACCGGATGTACTAGCATTATGGGCGGAATCTTTCGACTACGAGGTTCCTAGAAGACATTTCTTACATGGTGTATTGAAAGATTATGAACTGAATGGAAAGACTATTCATACCGAGATTGTAACAGATCATTACGCAGCTCGAGCATTTAATCTACAAGCTTATGAAGCTATAACCAAGGATGTTCTGGGAAGATGGACATATCCCCTTGTTCCAGATAGCAATTTAGTCGCAGGACAAACATATAAATTCCAACGAGGTGGATTTTGCAAGGAAAATGGTGTCATATTAGCTCGAACTTGCAAGATTGGTAGAAGAACTGTGTTAGGGGCAGGTACGAGTATAGGAGATGGCTCGACGATTATCAATAGTACTATTGGTAGAGGATGTCGAATTGGAAAGAATGTCACGATTAAGAATGCTTATATTTGGGATGATGTTATCATTGGTGATGGATCATCTGTGGAGCAGACTATAGTTGCTAATAATGTTTTGATTGGACAAAAGTGCAAGATTAGTGAAGGATCACTTCTTTCATTCGGTGTGAGGATAGCTGATGGAATTGAAATCACTAAAGGATCACGTATCACAACCGGACAGAGAGCAAAGGATGATTCTGAGTCTGATGACGATACACCCACCGACTCTAAAATCGTTGGAGAAGGCGGAGAAGGATATGAATTCATTGACGAAGAAGAATTTGAAGATGAAGAATCTAGCGCCTTTCACTCTAGTCTCATATACTCAACCGCACATCTCAATATCTCTAGCGAATCCATCTCTACTATCTCATCCGAAATTTCAGCCGGTGAAGTTGATACTCGATCCCGTCACTCCAGTTTCGCAGGCTCGTTATCGGATGATGAACATGGACATGGCAATTCGGAATCTTTCCATCATGATGCTGTTCAAGGTCTTCTTGATACATTAAGAGAGAATGGGGATTTCGATGGTGCGAAATTGGAATTTATGGGCTTGCGATTAAGTAATGATGCGGATGATTATCAAATTCGCAGAGCAATCGCAGCGGCTTTTACGAAATTCATAGCGGAAGTTGTAACGGCCGGAACGAAAACAGCGGTCGAAGCAACGGTGCAGGCATTGAGTGTAGCGGGTGCACAGAAATTCTTGGAGGAGGTCGCGGTGGGAATTGAGAGGGATGAAGGGGGGATGAAAGAATTCCTCGTTTGTTTGCAGAAGGGATTGGTGGGGAAACAGAATGGAGCGCCGGTTATGGCGAGTCTTTGCCAGAAATTATATGAGAGGGATGTGGTGACTGAAGAAGCGATTTTGGGATGGTGGGAGGAGGCAGAAAGTGGAGGGGATGGAAAGGAGGGCGGGGATGCGGAGATGAAGAAGGTGAGGGAGAGGACGGGAGTGTTTGTTGAGTGGTTGAGGGAGGCGGAGAGCGAGGAGAGTAGCGAGGAGGAGGAGGAGGATAGTGAAGAGGAAGATAGTGATTAGAGAGGTTGAAGGGAGGATGTAGGGTGGTGATGAATTATATGGTCTATGTTGGTACAGTACATTAAGACCTCGAAGTCAAAATTCTGTGAATAGATATTAGCGAGAATAGATTTAAAGGGAAGGAAAACTTATACATCTAAATTTGAGAAAACGATTTCAAAATTCCCTAGATTGTAAGATGAAGAGTGAAGAGTGAAGAGTGAAGAATGAAGAGTGAAGAGTGAAGAGTGAAGAGTGAAGAGTAAAGAGATATGATTATTGATTATGAGATGAAATTGTTAGAGATTATATTTCATTACCTGATTTATTATATGTGGATTGGTAATTTTGAAGGGAGCTGGTATATGTGTGTGTGGTTACAGTAGAGTTGACAATTAGTCAGGTAGTCAGGTAGGTAGGTACAGAGTGTAATTTTTCTATTTCTGTAGTGTTTGTAGTGTTTGTAGTGAGAGATTGGATGGATGGATGGATAGATAAATAAAGAATGACGAGTGAGATTATTTGATTTGATTTGATTTGATATTGATATTTGAAGAGCTTTTCGTTGATTTGATGAATGAGTGGGTGGGTGGGGAGGTGAAGAGGTGAATAGGTCTATATATCTATATATCTATGTATTTAGCTGACTGGATAGAATCTACTCAGATGATGTTAGCTAGCTCTGAATAAGTAATCCTGTTAAGCGAGGAGATGTTTGGGAGTTGGGAATTGGGAGTTGGGAATTGGGAGTTGGGAATTGGAAGTTGGGAATTGATATTGAGTTTCTTATATCGGATGGTTATCAGTGAGAGGGAAAGAGCTGAGGTAACATAAAGTGGAAAAGGGGGGGAGATAATTTAGTGTAAGTCTATGGTAGGAGTTTAAGTGTGGGTGTGTGTTAGGTTGGTTGGAAAGATACAAGTGGGTTGGATGATGGGGAAGATGAGGATTGATGGGGATAGGGATCTCGATATCTGGAAGTTGGTAAAGCCCTCCTGAATGATAGCTTGGGTGCTGGGATTTGTGTTGGAATTTGGGTTGGAGATTTGATATGGGGAGGGAGAGAAGACTTGGAAAGAATCGTGGTGAATGATGGATGTTGAGTTGGGGTATTCTAGTTTGTGGATTGGGGATTGAAGATTTGGATTTGGGATTTAGAGTATGGAGATGGAGATGGAGATGGAGATTGATTAGTATTGATATTGATACTGGTAAGGTAAGGCATGATTTCAAATTTAATAAGTGTTATTATGCTAGCTGGGGAAGTTGGGGGTTAGAGGGATGGAGTGGAATAGGAAGAAATTGTGTGGGTGTGATTATTCTGCCTCTTTTTGAAGGGAGTAGAAGAGAAAATGGTAAGGAACTAACCAAGAGAGGTTGAATTGGGATGATAGTTTGTCTTGGTTAGGAGGGCTGGGAGAAAGAAGTAGTGGATTTGAATTTGAATTGGAAGAAGGGGGGAGGAGGAGAATGGGCGAGACCGCATATACTGAGAACAAGTACATTGAGACTTCGAACAACCTTGACATCACACTGAATACACGTAAAGAAGATGCCCAGTCAGAAGAAAAGCGTTATAGATTAAATACCACTTCGTTTTGATTAAAAAAAACACCATGGGGCGCTGATCCAGCCTAAGAGCTACTTTCTCACATAAGATATAACCATGACTAGCGCCATCCCCCATTACACAAATATCCCGCATATCCACTCGCGGACGTCACTTTGACAGTCCAACTGTTAGTTGTGCGGCGCAGCAAAGATATTTGGCACCATAAGCAGATCAGCTTCCTCATTGTTTGCAATCATTAATGATTTTCTTTTGAAAAAGAGAAGAAAGAAAAAGAAGGTAAATTCACACAACACTTCCAAACTGCGTAGCGATTTCTCAAACTTCCAATTTGAATAAGCAATGGCCGAATATACATCCACAATTCAAGGCTTCCAGCGCGCGATGGAAGAGAGTCTAATTGGTCCACCTGCTGAAGCAAAGACGTATGCAGAAGCTACTGCTCTTCCTACATTCTATCATGTGATGAACGGACAGAAATCAAATGCCGAGAATTGGATCAAGGGGATTGAGATGTGGAGGGGGAAGATTAGTGCGTATCAACCTGTTGTGTAAGTTATCTCCTGAGTTTAGCAAGTAGTCTTTAGGAGGTGAGAGAAAGATTGAGCTACGGAAAGCTGACACAGATATGTATAGCGATCAATTCCTCCGCGATGGAGATAGTCTGGCAGCACACATGACGGGAACTATCAAAGTTGATGGGGAAGATACGGAATTTGAAAGCTTTATGTTTGGGAAGGTGGATAAGCAGAGTGGAAAGTTGGAATGGTTGCAAGAGAGGAGTATTTGGGGTCCTCAGGGAGGAGCACCGGAGCATGGTGCTAATTAGAAGGATGGATTGGAGTAGGATGTTGGTGAAAGATTGGAATATGTGCAGTGCATGTTGGACGTTGAAATGAATTAGCTACGTTGTTGCTGTGATGAGATCGATTTGTGGCTCGATTGTGGCTGGATATTAATCTTCGATTAGTCAGCTAGAAGATGTATTTCCCATGCGAAATCTCACTACACACTGTTACCCATTTCTCATAAGAATCAACATCAAATACCTGGATATACCAAGTCAAATCTACATCTAAATTGGTCTCGATTGATGAGTGTGATTGTCCTCCATCCTAACCACAGTTTGCCAATTTGGTCTCAACTGGTCGTTAGTTCTTTTGGTAGATACACAAATTGACGTCAATTTTCACGCACGAGATGCAAGCGAACCGAGATCTTATGTTCATAATATACTACCGAATCAGAGTTATACATACTAGCTATTTCTGATCAAGGCTCCTGTACAATTTCAAAGCTGAATCAAAAGTTGATTGATTGGAGTCTGAAGTCGAAATAATACTCTCAATTATAGTATTACCTCCCATTCGTTCGTCAAAGAGATTGGCTAACTTTAGGATCGAGAATTTGGATGATTGGGCTTATATATTCCTGCTGTTAACTTTATTCACTATGGTTTTGCCACTACCATTCTTTCCTCAAACCAGAGAGCCGTTCGGACGAGTCGTAAACGTTATAGTGCGCCTAAGCCCACTTGACGAATTTAGGCTGAGAAGTATTCGAAAAGATATCTATGCACCGAGGGTCGATGCACAAGTATTGCCTAATTTGGAACTCGTCCGCAGATTGGGAACCTCAAATATTGAATTTATCAGAAAGACTCTCTCTAACATTGCACGCGCACAATCAAAATTTGAAATTACGCTGAGCAGTCCTTTCCTTGTAGATAGATCTGCCAGTTTCAGTCTCCACATGCTAGCCTATGCGCCTGCACTCAAGGTCATGCGCAATAAAGTCCGGGATCACATAAGGGACATTGTTGTAGTAAATAACCCAATAGGTAAGTATACAGGTCAAAATATATACCCCTATCTTTTAGAGGTTGGAACTTTCCCTTGGCCTCAAGATACCAAGATCCTACTGAAATCGGGTATTCCACCGGAAGATGGAGATACTTGGTTAGATCACGCAAAAAGACAATCTTCTAAGAAGTTGAATCCCGTGACTGCAATCGGTCTCACAATGGTAATATAATAACTACTCTCATCGTGTCACACGTCACGATGATAAAGTCCTAAGCTGGGCACAAGTCTCGGTTAAAGATATGCGCGACTCAGACATTGTATGCGAAGAATTTCCATTCGAAGGCGAAGGACTTCAGGCTTTCAATGCTAGCAGACGATAGCCATGGCTTTGAAAGGCATATGCAATTTGAGTACGGTAGGTACGTGTTGACACCATTCTCTTATACGCACTTTCTGCTCTTACAATCTTCTGCCTTTATTATCCATTTTGTATCATATCTGTCGCTCTATTTGTGTGAATCTGAACTGACCGTTCAGAATTGGATTCGTCTCTGATCTTGCAAGTCTTTTATTCTCCTAGGACTTAGCTCAAAGACAAGGAAAAAGTAGTCATTCAAAGACATGAAAATTGTTCTTCATCAGTCTTGATATGTGCTGAGACGCAATAAGTCTATGCTCTAAGCGGATGTTAAGAGAATGGATAAAATATCTACCAGTAAATTTAACTCTTGAATGCCGAGGTCTAAGATTTGAGGCAGTATTTAAGTTGAAACTACCTGAGATCTGGTTAAGCATGAAACTGCGGCTAAGCGGTAGAGATAGTGTTTCGTATACTAGGAATTCTCTGCACTTTCATTCTCTGGGGATTGAATTCAATCGCCCACCAGAATGCACAGGTGGTCTATCATATACAATGCAAATACGTGGAACCAATAAAGCTATCACTGAGTAGGAAACCAGCAATTGCATGACTGTAACCTACTATTGGTTGAAAACGCTGGCTATGATTCTGTGACCAAGTTTATAGTAAAGTAGTACATACCAACAAGTTGGAAACTTCCCCAGCCACTGTAGAAATTCTGCTTCAATACCCAATGCTACCAATCCAATTCGTTACCAATGTGCTCCATAAATTTCCCTGAGGTCTTAACTCCGGTAGCTCCATCAATCTATATGATCCCGTCAACAAACCCCCTCTTTCTTTTTGCGTGAACTCGAACTTACAACTTTCACCAAACCTGCTATATTTTCATCTATTGATAGCGCCGTTTCTCCCAATTCAAATGTTTGAGCCTCTGCATTTCCAATAGCAGTTTTCACCCATTTATTTGACGATCAGCAATATTATATTATGCGAGAAGGGAATAATCGTTATGACCCCGGATTGTGCGCAGATGTTGTTTTAAAAACTCGTGCTCAAAATGTATCTTGCGAGACAAATAATTGAATCCCGCTTTCGATGGACCATACTCAACATCTGGAAATGGAAGCCTGGTACTTCATTTACTCATAATTCTATCATCAGGTGATTAATCATCAAGACAGGTTAGTCACACCAGGTTACCAATAACAGAAAAAGTAATTCTCGTCTGATCCCACATGACTACGATTTCAAGAGAGAGTGTCTCAGTCCTCTATTCCTCTCTCAATATTGCGAAGAATGAAACAAAGTAACAAATGAACAAAAGTTTGGCAAGAGTAGTTCTCACGAAAAGAATGCTTCAAGAATAGATATTGACACTCTGCTTCTCAATGAGCGGGACTGAGCCTGGGAATTCGAAGTAATGAAAAGAGACTTTTGAGATAGATAATTGGGATCCTCGGCCTTCTTCTTGAGATAATACTCGCCGTACATCTTTGAGGCATTGATGATCATCGAAACATAGATCGTGAAATGACGTATATAGACTTGTCATTGGACATTGGTAATAGCAAATCGGAAGGGAAAAGCCTACTTAGCTTCTGCTACTCGCTAGAGAATATAAATCAACACTTCTCACTCGAGGTTAATACTGGATAAATAGCTCAAGAATATGGCCGGAAGAACAAACAAAGTGAATGACTTGAACAAGCAGTTCATGAAGACCCTAAGACTAACGCAAGACTTGGAACAAGCGAGGAGTTTGAGCACAGTGGAAGGGTGAAAGTGCGGAATCAGATTCGAAGTAACCTAGAAGCGGAGTTTACAAAGGTAAATATCAACAACATGGGAAGTTTGCAGAGCTTAGGAGAAAGTTGCAGGTAAACTGGCTGTTCTTGAGTAATTTCGGAGAGGGTTGGCATATTGGAATAATGCAATGGAATTCATACTTCATGAATACAATGCATTTCCATTGAACAGCAAGAATACTGGGTAACCCCATCTTTAGAATCTACCCATCAAGCACAATGCACCACTCAAGCCACCCAGACGTCGGAACTAGTGTCGACATCAACGAGGCATATCGCTCTCTCTAATCACCATTTTTGCACCCCAAATAAGAGCCTTGAAATATAGAAGGAATTTGGAGAGGTAAGATTCAGTAGTGAGTTCCTTCGATGAGTACAAAATTTCACCCGCTTATTATTTAGTCTTCAGTTCATAAGTAAAGATGATTGTTTGCACGTTTATTCAATCCCCTCGTCTTCACTTGAAGAATAACTGAAGTTTTTCTTACTATCTAGTGATAATGCATGTCTCAAATTCGGATCAGATATGCCACAAATTAAGTCACTACATCGACGCTTTTGATTGGTTGAAAAATCACATTTCATTTCACAAGTAACTATCAAGTCGTTCATATTCCATCCAGTGAAGCAAACCAATTTTCATGTCAAAAGGGTATAGATTCATGCGGGTTGTATAAAGTTCCCTGCATTCATTGCAGAGATTATTACTACAACGTAATGTTTGGTATGTTGGTACAATTGCAAAAGCCCAGCATGAATGAAGCATCCGATACTTTTCAGAAATGTCGCATTTCAAGGCATTTTCCACTTTCCACCTCGCTCCCATGCCACTTCTCCCCACTTTCTTTTTCGCCGTTATCATTCCTCTATTTGTAGAAGTCGAATTTATCGGCCTGAGAAATGTTAGAATATTTTGACATGGCATACTCAAAATTAATAAAAAATTCAGCTCTATACATACCTCTTGTGCACCCTTAACTTGACTAGAATAGGCATCTTCAAGATCAGATTGAATGATGTTATATCTGTTCTTTCTTACTGCTCTCAAACCAGCTTCTTGCATGATAGCTGCAATAATAGCACCAGATAATGGATCATTTCTAATGATTAAACTGTCCAGATCGACTTCAGGTGACAATGACATTCTCGATGCAATAGTAGTGAAAATCAAACGTCTCTCTCTGCGATCGCGAAGATTGGGGAACTCAATCTTTCTATCCAGACGACCGGGACGAAGTAAAGCAGGGTCGAGAGTGTCGGCACGATTAGTGGCCATAATGACTTTAACGTTGGAAGTTTGGTCGAAACCATCCATTTGGTTCAAAAGCTCGAGAAGAATACGTTGAACTTCTCTATCAGCTCCAGTTTGTGCATCGAAACGCTTCGTGGCGATGGCATCGATTTCATCAATGAAGATGATAGCTGGGGAGTTCTCACGAGCCATACGGAACACATCACGGACCATACGTGGACCTTCTCCAAGATACTTTTGTACGAACTCAGACCCAACGACACGGATGAAGTTTGCAGTTGTCGAGTTTGCTACTGCCTTGACAAGCATAGTCTTTCCTGTTCCTGGTGGGCCATATAGTAGAACACCTCGTGGTGGATCGATACCAATTTGCTTGTATAGGTCGAAATGCGTTAATGGAAGTTCGACGGCTTCTCGAATTTCTTGCTTTTGCATATCAAGTCCTCCAACGTCTGCGTACGTAACATCGGGTTTCTCATCAGAACCTAACATGGCAATTGATGAATCGGCCTCGGGGGGTAAGATATCGACTAAGGAATTTGAGTGCCTGTGGAGAGCGACAGAGGAGGATGGTTTTAGAAGTTCGCGATCGAGGGTGGATAGGATTCGAACAACATAGTTGGATCCTGTTGATGATTGTACGATACCAGTACTGTTTGAATGTGTTAGTATCACTAATTGCTGGAAAGATGAACAAGTGTGTGTTGTACTTTTGATCAATAGCTTCCATGAATTGCCCTATCACCAAAGGAACACTTTGAATACGTTTGATTTCTTCCTGAGCTCGGACAAGCTCCCTCTTCAAGCTTCTGTTAAAGTAATCATGATAAGTACTTGTATAAACAACAGATAGAGTTTAGATCGCATACCTTTGTTCATCCTTGATATATTCTTCTTGAAGTTGGATATATCTGTAACACTTGGTTAGCATTTCCCTTTCGAAAATCTATCCAAAACTATACTAACTCCAAGTGCCTTTGAAGCTTCTTCAATGTTGAATATTCATCACTTCCATCGGTTCCTAAGCCCTCCAGCGAATCTATATTTGGTATCGAGGATGGTAATGGTTTTCGATGGGGCAAAGCCTGAGTCGCAGGGTTCTCTAATAAAACGTCACCCATATTGAAGATCTGCCGGTTGGATTTGAATGCGGATGTACGGTGGTGGTGAGATGTGGTAGATGGTTATGATGATGTTGTTGTCGATTCGGTTTCAATTTAAGTCCTTAGAAGGCGCGCGTAGTTGTTAGCCTAGCTGAAGCTCAAGGCTGGCTCGGTGTTTGAATCATGCTTAGCTAATCAACGATATGGTCACGTGATCAATACTCACGCCTCACATTTGAGGCAATGAAGCATATCTTACAGTCGGGTGGGAGCCCTGTGTGACTATACTTGTTTCAGATTAGCTCAGCACTAGTTCGCCCCATCTGTGACTCCACCAAATACGGGGGGTACTCATGTTAACATTAATCTATCTCCAGGCTCTCGTTTACTTTCATTCTCATACGACTCAAACCAGGACATATACAACAACTTTGGAAAGTACCTAGTCACTGAGTGTCGGTTTGGCCAGAAAGATCCCTTTCATAAACTTTCAACTTTTCTTTGATTATCACCTGAATCCATCAACGTCCAGCTCGTCAAGCTGTCAACCATGTCGTCATCTATTACGATCCCAACTAGAAATTCCAATAAGGCTGCTGCTACGGCAAGCCCAAGCAGCTCCTCTTCATATTCAAGCTCTCCTACAACATCACAACAATCACCATCATCAGCCGCTACTTCTCCAAACACTCGATGTGGATATGATAGGAGAAGAAGTCTTTTGAGTAAGTGTTTACCCTCGTTGGTGCTTGAAATCTCATTTCCGGAAGACAAGAGTTGTGAATTTATGGAATTATAACGGACCTTCGGACGGGATCATCATTCTCATGTCAATCAGCAGAGAACATGACTAACATATCTACTTCAGGCACAGCACTTGCAAAGGAAGAACATACTACAATTAATATTGGGGATCCTGACGGCACACCACGACTTGTACGTTAATGCGGCGTGAGAATGCTGCTAATGATTGAATGTGTACTTACGAATGTTATATATAGATCACTTGCGTGCGTTCTTCACAAGGGTTTGACTGGAACCCAGGTAAGAATGCCCTATGATCATCCTTCCTAATATGCTAACAATTTGTGATAGAAATATTCTTCCCCTCCTACATGGAATCCGATTTCGAATCGCTCGAACGAAAGCGCGAGCCTGTTCTTGAAATCAGATTGAGTGATGAGGAAATCAAGCAAATGTTCCCTCAATAGGCTGTGTACAAAACACTAGTGATGGACGTTGATATAAATTGATGGGTTTGGGTTGCACATTCTGGCGCTGAGGGTTTGAACATATCATTACGATTTCGCGGGTACAGAGGTGCGTTATATTTAGGTAGCCTGGTCAGCGATTGCGAGTGGGATATATTATCTAGGGACTGGTGGTATTTGGTTTTGTTAGGAGACATGAGGAGTTTGGATACAATTCTTTTGGAATTTGGTTATTGGGTGTACTGGACTAGGCGTCCCTCTTTTTACAACAGATTCCCCTTGATCAATTCAACTCCATTTTAACATGCCTTGCTAGACCATGATTGCTTCTTAATTTTCTGTTGAAAAAATTGTGGTGGCGGAAAAGAAAGCACAACGAACTCAGCCTCATGTGAAGGCCGACTGCATGGGCATCATAGGCTACACTCGGGGCCACCGACAGGTTGCGATACAAGAAGTAACACAACACCAACTGCAAATCCAACCAGAAAATCATGACTATATCTAACATAACGACCTAGGTAGCCATATTGTGAGAATTTTGAAAGATTATTCTAAGCCGACCGAGATATTTTTTGATGCCATTTCCACTCGTGATGAAGTCATCGCTAAAGTTATCCTAGTTACCTAGGTGCCTAGGTAGCTACTTGTGCCGATAATTCCGTTTTTGGTTTTTGGTCTTGTTCTTTCCGTTCTGAATATAGATTATATCTTAGAATACGACTGTGTGCTCGGACTATAAGACATTTCTCTTTCTTTTTCTGGTTCGATTCACAAATAACTGAATCGCTCATTGCTAAAACGACTCCATCCCCACAAGGTGTACGGTTAGCTATCAGCTTTCACTATCTAAGAACCCCACTCGTGTTATCGTGACCCCGGCGCTAATCATGGCTAGCTTAGGTTGAGCATGCGGAGGGTATGGATTAGGTAATCGGGGGGGGCTGGATCATATATGTTGTAAATATCCAGTGGGAGATCGAGTGAGGAAAGACAATCAAAATTGTAGTATTCGGTTGGTGATAGGCAATTTCCTCAAGAAAGTTGTCTCGTTGTTGCTGGCTCACTCCGTCCTATGATCTTCGATATCCCTTTCATCGTCAAACCGTGTGTGCACGTGCATCTGTACGATTGGATTTGAGATCCCGATAACATTCAACCATTCGAAGGCCTTGGATTCGAAGTTACTGCTATAGAGATGATCACAATCAAACTTCTTTATGCGTGCGCCAGCATTATATAAGAATGTTGAAGGGATCGTTGCCAATGAAGCTACCACGGCCAATAGATGCTTCGGTAGTGTTTAAGATCAAGTTAAAGTTTGCATCAGGGATCAAAGTTGAGAAGGTGTCTTTCTTGTTCATGTCTTATTTTGAAACTTGGTCATGATTGGATTGTCCTATCTCTCCACGAACTATGTTTTGATGATCAAATGTATCATGTGTATTGGCACGGTTTCATGTTCATGATATTTCCTTCGGGGTAATTTAGCAGCGACGAATGTCTCAGGACACGGAACAATCAATCATACTTGCAAATTATCCAAATGGTTGAAATTTTTTGGTAATGTAGAGCGTTGTTACAATAATAATGATACACAGCAGCAGTGCTGTAGCTTCTTTGGAAAATCTCGCCAAGCTTTTTAATGTCCTCGCTTCTTCCGCTTCTACCGCTTCCATTCGACGCTAAATTCAAAAGTAGATAAGCGCAGGACTGGCTAAATTCACAAAATGTACTCCAAAATCAACCTCACTAACACCAATAATAATACCAATGACATCAATAACACCAGTCATAAAATTTGTCATATTCTCATGCAAACTTCCATCCGTGGTCGGTCCTCGTCATATGTTGTATATTTCTGTAAATCTCTCGTGGTATATTCTGTCTGGTTGAGACTCAACCGGGTACTCTGAATGAGGATTTTGAACTGCCAACGTTTGTTGTGCTGGTTCTGCTGAGGTGATGACATTGGTATCCATGTTTGGGTTGAACCAATTAGACTGAGTTTGATGCGGCCAATTGTTCAGTGTATTCATATCGAGAGATTCAGTGTTCAACAATGTCCAATCGTGTTTGGCCCTCGGCGAACATGCAGAAGTCGATGTTGGGCTTGGGGTCGGATAATGAGAAAATCTATCGGTCCTTTCGGTCCAGATCTCCTGAACATCCTCAAAGGCTTGTTGGATAGGAGGAATCTGAAGGTTCAAGATTTCCTCCACCCTTGAAGGCATGAGGCCGTCTTTCTCCAACATCGAAGATGGAATTCGTACAGAACATTTTTGCTACAACACCGATCAGCAACTTCACTTACAAAACATTGCCACCATATGCACATACCTCTGAGTATACAGTAGATCCTTGACTAACTCCCAACTCCTCTGCCGCATACTTCATCCTTCCTAGGACCCATGTTCTTTGCGATTGGCTAACAAAATCTGAAGTAGCGACGGAAAACAAAGGCCACAATATGAAAAGTCCAGATAGACCTTTCGCACGGGCATCGCTTTCATCTCCGCAGGCGAAGCTGTGTTCAGAAGGGATTTTGATATCCATAGCTGTTGGTATTTCTCCGAGACAATTAGGGACGCTGGCAATAACGTCCCGAATCATTTCTTTTCCGGCTATCATAGCTTTCTCATACTCCACAGTAGTTCGGTAATCTTGTGGTGAGCATAGCCAGGCAGCACATCGGACGATAGTACTGTTATTGAGTAATCGCGATCCACGGGACAGATTCCAAATATGAGCTACCCAAACTTCGTGGTACTTGTCAATCTTACCCGGAAAGTATTTCGATTCGGCAAGTTTCTCTTCCGGTATAGCGTCGATCCATCCTATGGGTCTATAATTGCATTGAGGTGGCATTGATTCTGCCCATTCCAAGTAGCTTTGTTCTATGGCTTCAGCTCTTCGCATCAAATTCAGGACATTTTCGAAGTCTTGAGGAGTTCGTTTCGCGCTGGCCATAAGTTCATCACATGCAACACGAGCTTCCGCGACTTTGGATTGAAGACGATTACACATGGTTGGACCGCCCCTGGATTTGTCTCTTCTCTTAGTAAGGACTTCATTCCACTCCGCCGGGATATCGAACAGCTTTCCGTTGAGGAGACAACTCAGGTTCTGTTTTCGTAAATCAACTGACTGATCTAATCAATGACGCAAACAATTTTAGACGTACCAAGTGTATTTTTACGGTCCATATCAATTCCAAAGTTAACGGAGTCATCGCCCCTTTTACATCGCGCATCTTCAAAAGGGCTGTTGCACCAGTCACATGGGAATTCCAAGTGTTCCAGCCTTCATTCTCTTTCACGAGACTATATGCCATAGTCTGCTTACAGTCAGTAACGACATCTTGAAAGAAATTTGGAGAATATTGACCTCAAATAACGCAAGTAACATAACCGCTGCAAGTGTTGTATCTTCGGCGGCTTGTTTAGGATCGCCTATGGCGTTAGTGACTTGGCGTAATGCCTTCAAGTAGGCCTGCTCGGCTTTTGGCTTTAGCATCCTTGCATTTGGTTGATTTCCAAACGTAGCCAGTGCCACCGCAGAGAGCGAATCTGATAAGACAGCCGAAGGTTGAAGCTTCATCAATGGAAGTAAAAAACCGAGGAAGCCACATCTCACTGCTCCATGAGGAATCAAAACATAATTCGAAAGAAAGAAACAGATTGCACGTTCTTCCAATGCCGCTGTCAAAGGCGGGCATGCCAATTGTGTTCCATTCTGTATTGCTTCTACCAATCTCTGGACCTCCGGACAGGAGTTCTGCCTCGGTCTCCATCGTGTATAAGGCATTATATTAGATTCCGATTTACTCCGGCTGTGAGGGCGAGCCATTTGAATTGTAGCAAGGGCTGTTGTGGTTGCGATTGCATGAGACGTTTTGCGCTGTGCCGAATTCGATCCATTACGATGCATAACGTCAAAGATTGGTCGATATCCAGGACAATCGCGCTTCAACCTTTGGCAATTACCACAGCCTGGCTTTTTCTCATCACACTGATTTGTGTTAGTACTCTTCATCTGCTATATTGAGGATGACATCTGACCTTGACTCGCCGAGATCTGCAGAGATAACATCCTCTGGATGGTTTACCAGTGTTAACCATCTTGCCAATCCAATGTGTTATGAACTTTCAGTTTGGATCTGTTTTTTGTGCCGAATCTGAAGCCACGTTCGTTTGATGAAATAATGGTTTCCTTGAGAAAGATAGAGGCCTCCCAATAACTTATGGATGGCAGAAACTGTGCAGGAGCAATGCCAATTCATCTTGTTTCTCCGTGCACAATATCAATCCGTGCTAGGTTTCAACCCTGACAGAACATTTGGTTTTGGATGTTACGGCAGCTAGAGTATTCGGAGTTAATCAAAGACATCCTGAGATTGGCTCATTGGTCAGATGAAGTTTCTAGACGTCTCATCAGTCTTCCTCTGCGCTTCGATACCCTAGTTCCAAATAGTTCAGTACTAGCATATCATATGTAATTCCACCGTTGCAAGAATACATACTAGTGCTGACCCTCTAACACAGGTCTATCCGAAGTGCCGGAAAGTATGCGTCAGTACGGAAACTAAACCTTAATATAATCCGGTAAACTCAATCCAGATCGAGACAAGCCACATGGCTTAATCAATAATGTCACTTTCTATCTGACAAAATCCCGGATCTGAAACTCGTTGCTTCCAAGCGCTGTCAGAGATTCGAAAGTTTCACTAACAACAGCGTGGTAACATCCGAGCGTTCTTAAATTAAAGATTTTCCCTATTTGCTCCGCAGAACTTCTGCGCGATTTAAGGTTTCATTCTAAGTTTGTTTGTTCCCTCTGAACGGCGTTGCCATAGCTTGCTTTTTTAGGATGATGCTTTACTCTATAGTCTTTACCGGTTATATGGATGGTCCTAATTTGTTCTTGCTTCGGACTTGAGCGGTTGAAAGATTTTCTTTTATTAATACGGAGCTAGGTCTAAATTTACTACAATTGTTCGGAATGCGGCCTATGATATATTCTGCGCAGCTAAGGGCCACCCACTCAAAGATTTAGAAGAGATGTTATACAGTCCAGGCTTGGCACTTACGCTTTGTTGCACATCACACGTCATAAAAAGAAGTATAGTTGTTTAGCTGGGAGCAGCAAGGTACTTCTCAAACAACGAGAGCGCTCTTGTATTGTGTTATATCTGTTAAGACCACAAAGAAAGTTTCGTGGTATGTAATCATGACTGACACGTGCCGCTACCTTATAGTCTGGAGTAGGTAAGTGAAAGAGTGGCTGTGTCTAGATTACTAGGACCTCCCCGCGGGATGCCCATCGCCTGAAGACGGGAACGTGAGAAGGAACTTTAGAGAGAACGGGGAAGAGGGAGAAAGTGGAATTGGAAGAGTCATCAGGTAAATATTGGAGTGCTCCATGATGCACACTAGCATCGAATCGTAGAAATATATCTATCCGGAATACAAGATAGATGTTTATGTAAATAGGAGATGTTGTTGAATAGATATATTCTAAGGAAATCTTGACATCTACTTGTAGCTATGCAATTATTCAATCTCTTAGTCTTGAATATACAACAGAAGTAAGACGCAAAACTAATAGTAAAAAGCTCTCGGAGAATATAAAGCTTATTTCGTGCACATAAGTCTATCCAACAGGAGTAGTTTCAGACACAAAAAAAAGACAGAGCAGAACCCCGGTGAGGTCAAGTGATTACTAATCAATACCCCACGCACGGACTCTAAAAAGTCTAGAAGCTTTGCTCTGGTGCCGTGAAGTTGTTTTCCGATAAGATGGTTACCGACTTGTGAATGTAAACAAATACTCTTTGAAGCAGAATTGAGACAATGACAATTTAATTCCACATTACACTGCTTAATCGATTACCAAGTACAGTTATACTTCAATCTTCGAGTGAATTGAAACGAATTCTTTGATTCGCCTTAAGATTCCTCGAGCTGATTGGGTTCTGGTTTGTGAACGCGGAGGAGTGATCGCGCAACGCCAGCTTTCTTGAACCGTTTCATCTTCGCGATTATCTCTGCAGATAGCAGAGGGAAAGCGCAATTACATAGGAAAGAAAAGAAAGGGAAAGGGACAGAGACAGAAAACAAATATGGCAGAACAACAACGGAAAATCGAACTCCAATCGCCAGATGATTTAAAATATCTAGTCGCGAATGTGAAGAGGGCGGCGCGGGAAATGATTGATCGAGATTTACCGCCGATAGAGGGGGAGGATGCGATGAGGAGATTGGTGGAGGAGATTGTGGGAGAGGTTTGTGATATTTCTTTTTCTTAGATGCTAGGGATGTTGGGCTTTGGAGGGGGGGGGATTTTTTGAGAGACGGGAAACGGAAAGGGAATGCTAAGATCAGGGAATGGAAGAATACTAATTACCATAATAGTACATACACAAAACTTTCCTAACAGCCTCCCCCAGCATCTCCATCAATGGCATGGTACCCCAGCGCAAACTCATCAATGCCAATCTCCAACCGGAAGAAAAGGATAAAGATATCATTGAAGAACGCGAAGAACACGAACCTTTCGACGGACAGTTATGGGAGAGGGCGAAAGCATTAGCGGTTAAAGAGGAAGAATTAGTAGAGCAGATTGCTGCGCTGAGGAGAAATGTACCGGCGGTGGTGGTGAAGAGGGAAGGAAGGTGGAAGAAAGAGGTGGAGGAGGAAGAGCGGGAGATTGAGGGGTGGAGGGAAAAATTGGGGATGGAGGATGAGGCGATTTTTGCAGAAGGGGGGAGCGGATTGGGGTTGGAGAGGAATGAGAGGATGGTGGAGGTGGAAGGGGATTGGGAGAAGGGGATTGGTGGGTTGGAGGGGTTGTTTAGGGGGTTGCCGGAGGTAGGGGCTACGAGGGATAGAGCGGGACGGGCGGAAGAATATGTTAGGGGGACGGGGAAGAGAGGTTAGGATTGTGGGAATAGAGTTCTTTGGTGAGAGAATTTTGTTTGAGAGAACTGGAATGAGGCGTTTGGGTGTGGTTGTTTTCATGGATACTGGAAGATTATACCCGGATTTTGATTAGTGTTTTGAATGAATGAATGGTCAAAATGATTTTGTTATTCTATTTCCGAGTTTACTTAATCAGCTTCTCAAACTGTGGTATCATCTCCTTCTTCCTTATCCAATGCTTGTTGCTCCTCTGCCCGTTTTTCGGCTTCAAGAGAAACTCCACCCTCATCACCATCTTCGCTCTCATATCCACTCTTTTCCTCCTCGTTCTCATCCAGCTCATCTTCGTCCTCTTCCTCATTATCTTCCTCGCCCTCTGCCCCGGCATTCTTCCCCTTGGTCTTTAACTTCGCCTCCTTCCTCTTAGGGATAACCTTCAAGAAAGCCTTTCCCCAATCACCCGTCTCTAACCACCTTATCATGATCTCCATAACATGATTCACAGTCAACACGGTCCGACTTTGCATAGTCATATATTCTCCAATGGGTAACTTTGCGGTTGGGATACCCGCATCGCAAGCCCGTTTGTAGCAAAGGCCTTTGTGACGATTTTTGTCGACTATGCCGCCGATTATATAGGTTGTGTATGGGGAGAGAGTAGTGAGGGTGTTTTCGGAGTCGGAAGAGAGGTAGACTATATTTGGAGTGGTGGATGAGGGATTGGTTGCGGGTGTAGAGTCTGAGGCTTCTGAGGCTTCTGGAATGGTTGGATTTAGCTGTTCATCAACTTCTAGCTGTACAGCTTCCGCTGATTCTGCTTCCAACTTCTTTGATCCTCTGCGCGGTTTCTTGTATTCCTCGAGTCCATTTTCTGTCGCCAAAGCACCTAGCAACTTCCCGCCTTCAGGTCCCCTCATAAGTCCATCCATAATACCCGCTGCCTCCATCCAGCCCTCCTCCAAAAATTTAACTCCCTTCCAACTATTAAAATTACCTGCCAATACTCCTTCAAATCTCTCCTTCATTTTGCCTCCCCATCCCGATATTCCCATATGTCCTCTGCAAACTGCAGTTCGATTATCACTATAACAGCGTGTTACTTGCGCTGTCAATGATATGATTTCTTTTTCCATCATATAGGATTCAAAATCACAATCAATAAGGAAAGAAACTGGGACTTGAATAGGTCGACGGGATGAGGAAGGTGGAGGGGGAGGTAGCAGTCCAGCTGCTTGAGCCGCAGCTTTACGAGCCTGTTTTTCTTTGCGCTTGATGCGCCGGAATTCGGTACGTTTGGATTTGTTGGCTTCCCATTCTTCCTGCTTCCTGCGCTTTTTCAATTGCGATTTTGAGAGGGGATTGGGCTCATTTGAATTGGCTATAGTGGTGGACTCGGGATTAGCGGGGGCATCTTCAGTACTTATTGAAGTTTCGAGCTGCTTTGTTATGTCATTGGAATTGAAATTGGGGGCAATTGAATCGGTAGAAGTCGATGCATCGTCGGTAGGTGCGACTTTGCGTATTTTAGAGGGTCGTTCGTCGATGTCGGACATTTTTACATAGATTAGAGAAGTTGGTGAGGGGAAAGCTTGAATTTCATATGACTGAGAATATCTAAATTGATTTTCTTCTTCACCGCTTTGGCAGAACGCGTGATTTATGGTTTAGCGTGTCGCCCGTCGCGTCTCCTCTACTCTATTCTTGGGGAATTTGTTCAGAAGTTTGACTTTGATAATTTGACCTCTATGTTCTTGACTCTAGAGCAATCTGAAGACATTCTTTTATAATTGATATCTAGGAAAACCTCTCAAAATGTCTTCTCGTCCTGAGCTTAAGGTACGCCACCCCTTGATTGTAGCTTTTGGGTTTGAAAGGTTCCTTACTGATGGTGTATTTTAGGTTGATGATGAGCTTGGATTCATTAAGTTTTTCACAAATTTACCTCAGAGAGATGGAGAAACTATTAGAGTCTTTGATAGAGGGGACTTCTACACGGCTCATGGAGATGATGCGACGTTCATTGCCCGCACTGTATGTATCTTTGAACGGAGGTAGACATACATCTAACAATTTTAGGTCTACAAAACTACTTCAGTCCTACGTGATCTAGGCAGTAATTCTACAAAAATCCCCTCAGTAACGATGACCGTAACAGTATACAAAAACTTTCTACGAGAAGCACTTTATCGAATGGGAAAGAGGGTGGAAATATTCACAACCTCTGGAAGAAATAATTGGAAGGTCACAAAGACAGCATCGCCGGGAAACTTACAAGATGTAGAGGAAGAATTGGGAGGATCATTTGATGCCGCACCAATCATCCTCGCTGTCAAGGTTTCCGCCAAAGCATCAGAAGCAAGAAATATTGGTGTTTGTTTTGCAGATGCAAGTGTTCGAGAATTGGGAGTCAGCGAATTTCTCGACAACGATTTATACTCAAACTTCGAATCGCTACTGATTCAGCTGGGAGTTAAAGAATGTCTAATTCAAGTAGACAGATCGACAAAAGATGTAGAGCTACAAAAACTTAAACAAATTATCGAAAACTGCGGTTGTGCTTGGACGGAACGAGCAGGAGGAACCTTTGGGACCAAAGATATCGAACAAGATCTTGCAAGACTTTTGAAGGATGAGAAGTCTACGGGAGTTCTTCCACAAACGGATCTGAAACTTGCTATGGGTTCAGCGGCAGCTCTTATCAATTATTTGGGTGTGCTACATGATAATTCGAATTTCGGACAATACCAACTCTATCAGCATGACCTTTCCCAATTTATGAAACTGGATGCTTCTGCGCTCAAAGCTCTAAATCTTATGCCTGGACCGAGGGACGGATCGAAAACCATGTCTCTTTATGGTCTACTCAATCATTGCAAAACACCAGTCGGAAGTAGACTTTTGGCACAATGGTTAAAGCAACCTTTGATGAGTTTAGAGGAAATTGAGAAACGACAACAATTGGTAGAGGCTTTTGTTGAAGATCAAGAATTGAAACAAACCATACAAGAAACTCATATGCGGTCGATACCCGATTTATATCGCTTAGCCAAACGATTTCAGAAAAAGTTGGCGAACCTAGAAGATGTCGTTCGAGCATATCAAGTCGTCATAAGAATACCGGACTTCATTAAAACTCTTGAGGACGTTATGGATGAGAAGTATCGTGATGCTCTTGATGAAGCATATACAGATAAGCTTCGTGGATGCAACGCTAGTCTGGGAAATTTAGCAGAAATGGTAGAGACTACAGTTGACCTCGATGCTATGGACAACCACGAATATATCATCAAGCCTGAATTCGATGACAGCCTTAATATCATTAGGCGAAAGTTGGACAAATTGAAGTACGAAATGGATCAAGAATTCCGTGTAGTAGCCAAAGATCTCGGCCAGGAAATGGAAAAGAAAATCTTCTTGGAAAACAACAAAGTTCATGGTTGGTGCATGAGACTCACACGGACGGAAGCCTCCTGTATTCGAAACAAGAGCAAATACCAAGAATGTCAGACACAAAAGAATGGTGTCTATTTTACCACCTCGAAACTCCTCTCTATACGCCGCGAATTTGACCAGCTCTCAGAAAATTACAATCGCACCCAATCTAGTCTTGTGAACGAAGTTGTAGCTACAGCTGCATCCTATTGTCCAGTCATTGAACAACTCGCCTCTGTTCTTGCCCATCTCGACGTTATCGTTTCGCTAGCCCATACTTCTGCGCATGCCCCTACATCTTACGTTCGTCCAAAGATGCATCCTCGTGGAACTGGTTCTACGATTCTTAAAGAAGCTCGCCATCCTTGTATGGAAATGCAAGATGATGTTCAATTCATTACTAATGACGTCTCGCTTATTCGTGATGAGTCCTCATTCCTTATAATTACAGTATGTACCACAATTTCACCCTCACAATGTTTCAGTTTGTTACAAACATTGTGTAACTTAAATTTGTTTAACTAACGACCGAAAAGGGTCCTAACATGGGTGGCAAGAGTACTTATATACGACAAATCGGCGTCATAGCACTGATGGCTCAAATCGGTTGCTTCGTCCCTTGCTCAGAAGCAGAACTAACAATCTTCGATTGCATATTAGCGAGAGTAGGAGCATCAGATTCACAACTCAAAGGCGTCTCAACATTCATGGCAGAGATGTTAGAAACGGCTAATATACTCAAATCAGCAACTTCAGAATCTCTTATCATCATTGATGAATTGGGTAGAGGTACTAGTACATATGATGGATTTGGCTTAGCGTGGGCCATCTCCGAATATATCGTTAGGGAAATTGGAGCATTCAGTATGTTTGCTACGCATTTCCATGAATTGACAGCGCTGGCGGATACTTTCCCTCAAGTCAGAAATTTACATGTGGTCGCGCATATTGATACAGAACCTTCGTCACAAGAAAGGAAGCGAGAGGTCACGTTACTATACAAAGTTGAAGAGGGAATCTGCGATCAAAGTTTCGGTATTCATGTAGCAGAACTAGTCAAATTCCCAGAAAAAGTAATAGGCATGGCGAGGAGAAAGGCAGAGGAATTAGAAGATTTCGGAACGAGTGGAAAGGCTGACAATGGAGATCCAAGTAGTCAAGAATATGGAAAGGAAGATGTGGAGGAGGGAAGTAGATTGTTGAAGGATATATTGAAGAACTGGAAGGCGGAAATTGACGGGAAGGATATGGCAAAGGAGGACAAAATTGCGGTCTTGAGGAGGTTGGTGGGAGGCGATGAGAAATTGAGGGCGAATCCGTTCTTTAAGAGTATTGAATGTTTATAAAGGGTTGGGACAATGTGGAGGGGAATGAGCTTGATATGACATGTAATTGGCGTCTTGGGAAATTGGAAGGATAATATGGCTTGGCTCGCTGGCTGGGTGGTGCTATGTTTATATACGCTACTATACGATATAGTAAAGAGACAAATGTCGCTAAGGGAAATCAAATAAAACAATACATATCTATACGTAAACTGCGCTTTTACACATGAACTGTTGAATTTCCTGGCCCACACTCAGGACATCGCACAATCCGCTCATTTCTAAGGAATGCCGCTCTGAAAGTGCATTTTTTTTTTCTCATGTCACATCAATGTGGTTTTTGAATGTCTGTAGTCTTCTGAATGAATCATAACGTTGTCATTGTTTGAGAGAGGTTTGAGAAAGGTTTGAGAGATCCTTGGAAGATTAATCTCTCTTCGTAAACGGTTTTCCATGTCACATGATTGATATGACTAGAGAGCTTTTGAGCTTTACCCGTCATATACTGTAAATTTGCCCCTCAAACTTACAATCACATCAAATTTATAACCCAAAACTAAAACCGGATTTCAACTGGGTAAGTGAGGTGTTAGAAACACGAAGTTTTGAGATGGAAGTGAATACATGGGAAGTGAATGCACAATCCCATCTCAATAAGATATACGTCATATATCAAGCCGCAGCGATTTAAAAATCTCATCTATGCATGAGGTGAATCGAAATTGATTAAGATTGATCAAAAATTGAACGAGCGCAAAAAAGGCCAGAGTTCAGATGTGCAACAAATGGAAGGATGTAGGAGTATTCATTTCATCGGTTAATATTAGCGAAGCTAATTGCGGAAGCTTGAGTGAATATGGTATGAGATATCGTCTTAAGATCCTTGGAAACTAGATCTAGGACTCTCGGTACATAGCAGATGAATTTTGACTAATCAGTCAAGGGGACACGCGGGGTTAAGGTTGTATAGGATCTAGGTGGGAAGTGAGGATTGGAAATGAGGGCTTGGAAGTGAGAGTGGAGGAGTTTGAGATTGAATGACCAGGAGTTTTTAGAGATGGATGGAGAGTGAAGATTGAACTGTCAAGAGTAAATAATTGAAAGCTGGTATGTCAGTCTCGACGTGTATTGTTCCATCTCCTCTCAGAGTGAACAACATCTCAGTGTAATAATCTGACGCGTACTTGTAACATCAACCCACCTCGAAAGTATCTTCAAAACATCTTCACCACAATTTTCAATCACCAAACCTGTCAACCTCCTACGACTTTCCTTTTCTACTACCAACACATCTTTAAAGAACCTGAATTTCTTGATAAGTAACTCCTTGCTTACCATGAACCTTTTACTTGTTTTTTCTCCTTCATCCCCGATTCGCATGTCAATCCAATGGGTCAATGGCTTACTGATGAGGAGAAGGATATATCAGCATCGATTTCAGAACATCCGGAAGCAAAGTCAAAGGAACGAATGGAATATTCAAACATACCTCTCAATCGAAAGCTTTCCAGACACGCGCATACCGCTATCATCATTCATGTCAGTCATCGTGGGGCATTTGTTTTAAAGTTGGGACGGGAAACGAGAACTCAGAATCCTTAGCGATCGATCAGTTGTTCAACGACAGTAACTTAAGAAACTGACGAAGGGAAAAGATGGACTTCATCAAAATACCCCTCTTCAGGCGAAAGCAGATGCTCTTTGGAAAAGAGAGATAAACCCGACGAGAATATGCAGCCACATGTATGTTTGGGGGATGAAATAACCTCTTCTACTCGGTCAGATTCTTGTGGCTTACGTCTAGTTCTAAAAATGACAGATTCGATTCTCGCTTTTCGAGATCAATTTTGAATACAGAAGTACAAAATAATCATACAATCTTGTAACTGGGGCCCTCAGATCTTTACCAATCAACGGATACACAATTGATGAGGCGAGCTAAAGTTAGAAGTGATTTATAATGGTCAACTAACTTTATTCCGTTGTTTCGATTCTGAATTAAAGAGGAGGACCGATGAGAAACATCGATGTTCAGTATTCAACATAATCGACAATAATAAATGAATGGTGCCCGCTTGGTTGAATTGACGACAACTTTCGGATTAAGATACTACATGTGTGATTGGTGATAGTAACCAAAACCAGAGAACCTGAAACAGCTACATCTTCAAACCGCTCCTTCTCACGTGAACCTTGATGCCTAATCTAGCAATTCGTCACGCATGGTGTCTGACTGAAAAACAAGGACTTAATCAGAAGTGGTTTATAGAGAAGTCTGAATTGTACTGAGAAGTATTGTATTCAGCTAATCGACATACTCAAAGTGAAGTTCCAGTCGACAGGGAATAGAGTGAAATAATCAGGGGCCACATTGTAGTATGAAACCAACTTCGTATTCGAGACTTGATAGAAATGCTAGAAACGACTCCCTTTTCTCCATCGAAATCTAGACACTCCAAAATCCAGAGTGCGGGGATCCATCTGCAATCCTCTCTCGCCCTTCCCCGTTGAGCAATAGTATTATTATTGGAGAACGGTATCAGAGACATGTTGCATGTTGTAGCGCTGTTACTATTCAGGAATAATGTCGTTAATTTTTTTTGACGGTGATAATTTGGGTTGACTGATAGTGAGTGATGACGTATAGTGGCTGATGTTTCGTAGCGAAAAATGCATACTGGAGAGAAGAAAGATGCAAATATAATCTCCAGCGTTGTCTATTCCACAGAGCCTTCAGAGAGCATTCTATGAAGTAGTGGCATGTATAAGAAGCATTCTCGTGTTTGAGATGCGATTTATATAGTCGATTCGCTCCTTGAACGATACACTGGTGAATAAAATGCTACTACGATGGCCTAAGACGAAACTCAAAAGCGTTGTAAGAAAAGTTAGGATGAAAATTGTTATGCGAACAGAGCAGTTGCAATTAAATGTATCTAGATGTACCAGGTATTGATTCTCACAAGTCGATATTTGGTAGATATTGAGGTTTGAATACTAACGATCGTAAAGCAAGATTTGAATGACTATGACCACTTGGTGTGCTAGCTAAACTTTATCCGCTGTGTGAGAAAGCTATAAGATTGATCGAAATTTACCATTCGTATCTCTGGAACGGCTCGCAAGGACGCCTTGATTATACAGAGCCCAAATTGGAAAACGAAAGAAAAGTTGCCATAACCTAAAGTAAGAGCAGATAATTATTGAATAACTAGTATCAATGAAGTTCTACCATAAGTCAAACATATCAAATTGGTTCTGCATTGGCAACTGCTAACCCACATCCTTTCGAATGATGATCCCGCAGACATATATCAAAGCTTGTGTCTTTGTTTTGATTTTTGTACCCACCTGACCAAAAGCCTTCACATGTCTGATTATTAATTGCTGTTTGTACAGTTCATGCATTAAAGAAATGGCACTTTGAAGATCTGATAGGGGCCAGCTTGGGTACCGCTCTGTTGTGGAAGTGATTGCTAACTAAAGCGGGAGTCAACATAGCTTCATGTAGTGCATGTGCCTCTTCGAGAGGCAATATGTTGAACGCAATGCCCAATGTTGGAAAACACATTTAAAGGTTGATTATATCTGTGAAGAGGAAAAGAGGATAATAGCTGCTACGGTTTGAAGACAGAGGCGTTTCCCACATTGAACTCTAACTACGTAATCCGTTAGGTTTGGTCTTTCAGAGTTAGATGATGACGGTCAAACCCCCTTCGGAACAGATAGATCTAGCGCAAGCCAGTCTAAATTTCGCCCTTCCATATGGCGGTATTGGTATTGCGACAGATGTCATCACTTTTTACATATCCGTCATGTTGTTGTGTAGTAAGAGTCCTCTATTTTGGAGCAATTGTTGCAGAAATACATTAGAAGATGGGACCAGTTTAAAGCATGCGCGTTTCAATGCCATATTAGCTGTCATGCAGTTCTCATCGACCATAATCATTCCGCCAATAGTGATAGTCGAAAGTCAAAACTGCCATCTTCAATTTATAACGTCCTTGAAGCTCGTTACCTCTCTGATTTCGAGCGCAATCGCGTTTTCTGCTGGCCGTCAAGAATCACAAAAAAGATCGGAGCGTTCTGAACCTACATTGATACCCGTTTGGATTTTGGCAATATTCATTGCAGCGACAATAGGTATAATGTTCGGCGCAATCACTTTGGCGAGTAACTTGGTACGCCATGGCCTCAAATTTGGGGTCACTACTGGGATATATGGTATTACTACAACCACAGTCATTTTGTTAATAATGACAGCTTCAGCTCTGCATCACTGGTATCGATGGCATCCAGAGGGAGACGAAGATGCTCATGAAACGTACTCGGAGTTAGAGGGTGACGCGGAGCCCTCGAGATCAACGCAAAACTTGGGATATGAATGCTACCGCATGTTAAGCCGTGTGTTGAACTTTCGATCGGCGGAATCAGGCTGTATTATATGGGGAATCTGTGCAACATCGACGCAAGTCTATATTGATTTGATTGTCGGTTTGGCTGCAGAAAATATCGGTGGCAATCCCAATCCCAAAGCTGGACTCATGACTTGGTTGTTTTGGTTGTATTTCGGATTCCAGGTGCTACCACTACTTAGCTGCTGAAATTGAGGAAATAGAATCTCTGGGACATTTTTAGAGAAGACCTCTCCGTGATCTTCATAGATGAAAACAGGATATACAATGATAGACAAAATACATAATGGAGCTTCGTATTGATGGCCTTCTATGCCTAAGCCACCGGTGTTGTACTGAACCTTGGAAGCTCTTGATCGAAACGATAACCATGCATCTAGGATAGAAAATCAATTCCTACGATTAACACGACTTCTTTATTGAATTATCATCAAAGTAGGTGTGTTGCAAAGTATTATAAGGATATCAATTCAGTTGAAGGTCTTCAAGTGATATGCCCAAACATGTAGAACGCTTCCATATTCGGCATTGGAGCTCACCGGGACATTCTCAGAAAACTGTTGGTGCGATCCGCACGAATATAGGGGTCGATTGTAGTCTTGTAGACTTCTATTCTAGACTTCTAGAATTTCTGGAATGCGACGATCGCACGCGTTACACGCGACATACACGTTATTTTGTTGTACAGACTGACAGATTCACCGTTTGTTGGGTTTTACACTATCCCGATACAGGGGATATTCATTATACTGCGGGGTTCGATAGGCGTCTTATCGCCTGAAATTACTGTTTGCAGTCATCGCTTCGCAGCCGAGGTGCGCTAAATAACCTATTGTTGAAACCCCCCGCAAGAAATTTATCCACATTACAGCTAGGGTATCATGAACCTTGAGGCAAATCAACGGAAAATGACCAATCTGTATAGATAATATTGATGTTCTATTCGAAGGATTTGGATTCACCTCAAATACATGTCTAAGTATATTTCATCTTATCTCTTTGATCTTTTTTTATCTCAAATACGATGACATGTGCGATTCGGAAACGTTGAATCAGGCTGGTGAGATTTCTATTAGGCTATTTGCTCTTTGACAGTAGGGATATCTCGAAACATCAAACCAAACCCCGTGGACCAGCATACAGCAGTACAGACATTGAGATAGAAAATGCGACTGTAGGGAAAACCAGGAAATATGGACTCGAAGGATGAGCACGAAGCTCGCGAAGCCAAAACCAAATCATCGTTATCCATTCGATCGCAACCGCTTGCCTCATCAGCCACAAATGAAAATGATGCCACAAATCTCCAAGCTATCACGACTACCCAGAGCAATACACTTTCTCTGTCCGCTGTAGAACCGGTCGATGTTCAGATACGAAATCTGTCGGTGAACGTTGATATCTCTCCTTCGCCATTTTCAATTGAACGGTGGATACCGCGAAAGAAGGCCCAAGATGGATTTGCCACTCCCACCACGAAACAGATCTTACACTCCGTATCTGCCTCGATGCCCATCGGAACACTTACTGCCATCATTGGTGGCAGTGGTTCGGGAAAGACAACTATGTTAAATACAATGGCTGAGCGCATGACAAGTGGACGATTAACAATTGGTGGAACCACAACTTTCAATGGCATGGAAGGTGTACACAGTGTTCGTAGTGCATATGTCATGCAACAAGACGTATTACTACCAACTTTGACAGTTCGGGAAACTTTACGTTATGCCGCAGATCTGCGATTACCGCCACCGACAACTGAAAAGGAAAGGAGGAATATTGTGGAGGAAGTAATCTTGGAGCTTGGTTTGAAGGAATGCGCCGACACACGAATCGGTAGCACACAACACAAGGGGTGCTCTGGAGGCGAGAAAAGAAGAACAAGTATTGGCGTACAATTATTAAGCAACCCAAGCGTCTTATTTCTGGACGAACCGACCACTGGACTTGATGCGACGAGTGCATTTCAGCTAGTCAGGACCCTGAAAGGGTTGGCCAGGAAAGGTCGGACGGTTATTACAACCATTCACCAGCCTAGATCCGAGATATGGGGAATGTTTGATGGTCTAACAATCTTAACAAGAGGTAGTCCAGTATATTCTGGCAAAGCTGCGGACTGTTTGTCTTGGTTCAAAGGAATTGGCATGGAGCTACCGGCATTTGTCAATCCAGCGGAGTTCTTAATTGATATAGCTGCTATTGATAATCGCTCCCCGGAACTCGAGGCAACTTCTTCTGCAAGAGTTGAAAATTTGAAATCTGCTTGGGCAGAAGAAAATGACAAAAGGTTCTTCCAAGTTTCGGAAAAGGTTACAGCTACTGAGACGCCGGATACAAACCCTCTTGTAGCAAAGAATTGGACACGTCACTCTCCGTTCGTTCGTCAGACTCGTGTACTAACTTCTCGAACCTTTGTCACAACCTATCGAGACCCTATGGGTATGTTTGGGTCTCTTATAGAAGCGATAGGAATGGGGATCATGAGTGGGTGGGTGTTCTTTAACCTGGGGGAAGATCTTTCTGGTATTCGCAGTCGCGAAGGTGCTCTTTATAATGCTGCCGCATTACAAGGCTATCTCATGCTCTTATTCGAAACATATCGTCTGACGATTGACATACAACTCTTTGATCGTGAGAATAACGAGAATGTTGTGGACGTTATCCCTTTTCTGCTCAGTAGAAGAATTGCAAGGTTCTTTACCGAAGACTTTCCTGTTCCTCTGATATTTTCACTCATATCTTATTGGATGGCAGGCTTTAGATCAGATGGCTCGACTTTCCTTACTTTCTTTTCTATCGTGTTACTCTGTCAATATATCGCCGTCACCTTCGCCATGACGTGCATAGCTGCCTCAAGGAACTTTGCTGGTGCATCTCTCATTGCAAATATGGGTTACACAGTTCAGAGCTTTGCCTGTGGATTTTTCGTACAAGTAAATACTATTCCGGTGTACGTGCGTTGGCTGAAATGGACAGCCTATGTCTTTTATGCGTTTGGTGCTTTGTGTTCAAACGAATTCGTAGGCCAGTTTTATGATTGCCCTTATGAAGGCGGAGAATCGAACCCAGCCTGTGTCGAATACACAGGCGCATTCATCATAAATTCGCTGGGATTTCCTGATAACTGGGTTGTCAGGCCAATCGTTTTCCTACTCTGTTATTCAATCATGTTCTACGGACTTGCGGGCATTGGTCTACGATTCCTAAAAGTTGAAATGACGATTGCCAGAGCTAGAGGGTCAGATGCGGACTTTTCTGCAGGGAAAGAAAAGATGACAGTAAGGTCTGCGGCGGAGGTTCGAACTGTGAGTGGATATTCTGTTTTCCGCTTTCCAGTGATATCATGAATGGCGAAACGTGAATTGATGCACGCTTGTACTTGACCATGTCTATATCGATTTGTATGACGGATTGGCACTAATTAGCATAGGTTGATATCGGCCTTGACAAATTCGCGTTAGATCTCGAGAAACGTAATTCATTTGGGAAAAAACAACCCACCAAAACCATATTAAATCCAGTCACAGCAACATTCCAAGCCGGTGTATTAAATGTCATTATGGGACCATCAGGCAGCGGTAAAACATCTCTTCTCAATGCGATGGCTTTGCGACTACGTAATTCCATCGGAACAAAATATCGACCAAGTGGAGACATGACTTTTAATGGTGCAGTGCCATCGGCTTCAGTCATACGATCTGTTTGTTGTTACGTATGTCAAGATGATGATGCATTACTTCCTTCATTAACGGTTAGGGAAACCCTTCATTTTGCAGCTGGGCTACGACTTCCGTCATTTATGACAAAGGACCAAAAGATTCGACGTGCTGAGGATGTTCTGCTGAAGATGGGTCTGAAGGATTGTGCGGACAACCTTATTGGATCTGATCTCATTAAAGGTATATCAGGTGGTGAAAAGCGCAGAGTAACTATCGCCGTTCAAATTCTGACGGATCCAAGGGTGAGTCTACAAGAACTTTATCTATTCCCCTTACACTTCCAATTGCAAATAATTACTGCTCTGTTGAAAATTGCTTGCCGCTAATTCTTTACCATAGGTGCTCCTTTTAGATGAACCAACCTCTGGTTTAGATGCATTCACCGCTTCATCCATCATGGAAGTGCTTCAAGGTCTTGCACAAGAAGGTCGAACTCTAATACTCACAATCCATCAATCTCGCTCGGACACCTTTAAGCATTTTGGGAGTGTTCTTCTATTAGCACGTGGAGGCTTTCCCGTTTATGCTGGTAAAGGTTCTGATATGATTTCACACTTTAATAATTTGGGCCATCCATGTCCTACTACGACAAATCCAGCTGATTTCGCACTCGATCTAATCACCATTGATTTACAACAGTCTAGACGAGAGGAAGCCACTCGTTCTAGAGTAAGAGATCTCATTAATTCCTGGTCATCGGGAGATTTCACAAAAGCTATCATCCCAACCACAATATCTACTCCTGCAGAACTGGGTTCTCTTGTTCGCAAATCATCTGGCTTCTTCTCTGCATACCCTATTCTTGTTCATAGAGCTTCGATCAATTTTCGTCGACAGCCTGATTTACTCCTAGCTCGAACTATGCAAGTCTTGGGTCTCGCTATAATTCTCGCTTTGTTCTTCGCACCATTAAAACACGACTATTATTCCGTACAAAACAGATTTGGTTTCATCCAAGAATTTTGTGCATTTTATTTCGTAGGTATGCTGCAAAACGTTGCAGTCTATCCTAATGAAAAAGATGTCTTCTATCGAGAAAACGACGACGGTATTTATAGCGTCGAAGCTTTTTTCGCTCAATATACTACACTGGAGATACCATTTGAGATATTCACATCTTTAATCTTTGCGATATTGACGGATTTAGCTACGGGATTACCCAGAAATTCTCAGGTATTCTTTGTGTGCTTCTTTAATTGCTTTTGCATTATTAATTGTGGAGAGAGTCTGGGTATTATGGTATGTTCTCCTTATCCGAAGTCCAAGACTCATAGTAGTTACTAACATGACAATAGTTCAATACCCTCTTCTCCCACACAGGCTTCGCGGTAAACCTTACAAGTGTATTCCTATCAATAGCCCAATTTATGTCCGGTATCATGTCCATTGGTATGCCTGCGTTTCTCCAAGGAGTAAACTATCTCTCGCCTATTCGCTACGCTATTAGGAATTTGGCGCCGTACACCTTGA